GCACGAGCCTTCACCGGTTTCTCTTCATCTTCAACTTCATTCTCCTCATCCTCTGCTCTCTTGGCACGAGCCTTCACCAGCATCTCTTCATCCTCTTCAGTCACCTCTGCTCTCCTGAGCCTGCGACGAGCCTTGACCGGCTTCTCTTCCTCCTGTCCCTCTTCTTCATCTTTCGTTTCCTCTTCGACCTCATCAGTTGTCGCACGCTTTTGAGTGACCCTCTCAACAGCTTCTTTGGCTTGACTTGCAGCCTTGCCAGCCTTAAGGTGTAGCTGGTGGCTGCGAGTCACAACCAGAGTCGTCTTCTCAGCCGAGGCATCTGGTGCATCCCCTGCTTTTGGACAAGGTGTTGGCAAAGCCTCTTCAAGAGCATGTTCAAAGGCCTGCGTGTTGACCACCATTGGGAGTGTTACAACTTCATCTATGCTCTTCGCCTTTCTCACCTTTGGTGGCGGAGGGCTGTCCAAGTCAATCAACTCACAAGAATCCTTCTCGGGCCATAGCAATTTGACGCGTTCCCTTTCTTCTTGCATCCTGAGCCAGAAAGACAAAACATCAAACAACAAAACAAAACAAATTGCCTTGGGCTTGTGAAAGCCCAAGACAAGTCCACACAGGCTTCCCAAAGCCCTTAGGCTGGCTTGCCAAAGCCCAAAACTTATGTGAACCAATGCCGCTTAGGCGCAATTTCTTAGCAGACATCCTCCGCTCGGCGTGGGCAAGCATTTGCTTCAGCTCTGGCAGAGACATCTTATCCATTTGCTGGACCTCAGAGACCTTTGGCATGACAGCAGACGATGAAGCCTGAGCAGACAATGAAGACACAGGCGGCGTAGTCTCCAATTCAGTCTCCGTCCACTCAACTTCAGGCTCATCATCCTTCACCTCCTCATCACTGTCGTCTTCCAGGTTGATGACTTTTGCTGCCGCACTCTCTCCAATGGTTGACTTCAGCTTCTCAAAGGCTTTTTGGTAGAGTTCCAGGAGCGCTCGAACTCGTTTGTCCTAAGATTGTCAACCAATCTTGCCACTAAAGCACGCGTAACACAATCCTGAGATGCAAGCAAGTCTCTCGCGGCTTTTCACACCGTTTCCATTTCCGTCTCATAAAGGAGAACATTGGCTTCATCTGGTGCGCGTCCAAATGGGCTTGGTGTTCTGCTAGTTTTGAACTGGGGTAGCCAGCCACAATGTAGAATCGCCATAGCTCATAACCTGACATCTGTCACAGGGGCAAGAAAAAAGAAGATTGCATGTAAGCATGCGCATGAGTAAACCAAGCAACTCAAAGCGTCAACTGATGGTGTTTTCGTGACTCCATGGGCAGCCATAGTATCAACAAAGACAGTCAGCACATCTGAATTGAAACTTGTATCTTCATATACCTTCTGGCGATTCCTTTTGCCAGTGCTGTCACACACCCTGACCAGCCCCTCTGCGTTTCGAGCACGACAGCGAAAGCCGCTGTCTTTCTCCAGCACAAGGTAGATGTTCTTCAGGCACTTCTCATGAGCTGCAAACTCATGTGGCGGTATCTGTGCCAAGAGATCTTCAATCTTGTGGCCCTCTGCCATGAAGCAAAACGTAAAGGACGTAAAGGAGCACCACTTGTTCAGCCCAAATGGCTGTCAAGACAAGGCTGGCCAAGACAGCATCAAATGCAATCTATGCAACAAACTTGTGCATGCTCACATTCACCATGCAGTCTCAGGCCACGACAATGGCACATAGCCACGCATGCACCAAACACTAACCCCCTAATTTAAGCAAAATGCTGCAGGTTGCACGCACATGAAACGCCTACATAAGCACAGATGTGCTTGCTAAAGCACAGATGTGCTTGCTAAAGCACATCAAACGCATCAAATTATAATGTGAACTACAGAATTCCCTTGTGTTTTACTGTGTGTGCATGTACTGACATACAGAATTAGCTTGTGTTTTACAGTGTGTGCATGTACTGACATACAGAATTAGCTTGTGTTTTACAATGTGCATGCATATGAACATACAGATTTACCTTGCGTTTTGTGTTTCAACTTATATATTCAACTATAGTTGAACATCATCATAATTGACAAAAATACGGTCGTTTAAGAAAAGACCATTTTTCTTGGTCGTTTCAAAAATTTTTGGTCGTTTGACGAAACAACCAAAAAAAGGTGGTCGTTTCAGGTTCCAGGAAGTTTCACCCGATGAAACATCGTACTTGTCAAATGCTATGTTTCACCCTCAGCTATGCTTGTGCCGTACTGCCAGAAAGCCCATCTGGGACCATAGACACGGGTTTGAACCCTGCTCCATCCTGCTCCTATTTCTTGCGAACATCAACCCGAGGAGGTCTTTTTTTCTGTTGACATTTAGGCGACCACAGAATACTGGCGCACAGTCTCCCACAGACCCAGATCCTTAGAAGAATATGTACCATATGTCCACCTTGTTTTGATCCCTGTTCAGGATCATAAATAGAAATTCAATTAAGCCGCACCTCCATGCAAGAGAAACGAATCATTCTGAAGTGAAGATCGCAAGACCTCTTCTTCTAATGCGGGAATCACATGCAACGCGTTGCCAGGATTTATTTTGCAGAAGCTGGAAAATCATGACTGCCAGGCTTTTGAATCTACTCCCCCAAGTGCCTGATCAAAATCAGTTGCGTGAAATGTGCGTGAAATACTAAGTTTTCGCGTGAACGTTGGCCCCCACTATATGCCCTAGTCTGGCAGCAGCCCGTCAATCCCATCATCTATACATTCTTCGTGTGTTAGTGCACAAGAGCAGTCAACTTCCGACCATGCACCCTTGCATTGTGTTTTTCTCTTGGACCAGCTAGTTTCTCCTTGTAGGCTTTTGGTCATCTGCAGTAAGAATGAGTGATAAAAGCCCCATGGTGAGAACTATGCGGCGAACATGAAGGAAAAGGTAGGGCCAGTGCCTGCCAGCAAACATAAAACCCATGAATAATGAGGTTGTGAATTTCTGTGTGATGCTGTTTGAGAGAGGGCTGACAAGGGTGGCACTTCAAAGTCCTATAGAGTAAAACATCGTTGAAATACGAATGTTTACGACGTTGGCAAAATAACTTTCGTCTGCTTGGCAAAATACGAAGTTTAACTTCGACGTTGGAACCCCTGGGTAGCACTTGTTACTACTAGTAAGGCACCTGTTACTACTAGCGTGGCACCTGTTACTACTAGTAAGGCACTTGTTTAAATATTATGTAGTTCCTTCTCTCTTGACTCAGTAGCTCAAGTAGTCTTTGCGGCGGGATGTGTATCTGCCATAGTTTCAGTGTGTCACTTGCAATCACCAGCCCCAACACAAGTTGAGGGTCGATGAACAAGACCTGCCGATATGGAGATGCCTTGGCATCCACATATTATTGACGGAATATTTGAGTTCTTTAGTTGATGTTCCCTGTCAACGCATGGGTCAACACCAATTACAAGCAACTGATCAAGCCCAACTCTCTCACCACCAGCGGGTGAACGTCCCCTGCCTTGGGAAGTCCCATGTGAGCGGGTCCGAAAACGAAGGAAGGCGGCGTCCGCGTCCGCCGCGATCGGTATGAAACATGTAAAATGAAAGGCTATGAGCCTGAACAGCACCGAAATGACAAACAAATCAACAGAAAAAGGAAATGTACATGGACATGAACTGAACAAGGCAAAAGCTTTTAACAGAGCGTATATAAAGAAACACAACGACATGAACTGAAGGTGACATGGTCACTCAGCCGCAAAATGGGCAAGTCACTCGGTGTTCCTCCGCACCGAGTCCAAGCACTTGGAGTCGAGTCGGCCGCAGCGATCGATCGAGAAGAAACAGGGGGGAACGAAGATCAAAAGTCCCAAGATCCCAAGGACAGGGTTGAACATAGCAGTCCCAAGTTACTAAGTAAATCTAAGCAAAGGTGGAACTTAAAAACTCTTGAAGATCTCAAGTTTTCCACCACCCAGTGGTGTACATTCAGTACCCAGCCCATTTGTGCTGATCCTCCTTACCATCAGTCAAACCCTGAAGCAAGAAAAAGCGATGGAAGAATCGCCGATGAAAGTGATGGATGAAACAAATGGAGTTCGATCAAAGTTCCACGTGTCCACCGTACACTTCAGCTATCATGGAAGTGGAGGGAACACCCTCCAAGGGGCCATTGTTCTACTTCCATTGGTCCATGATGATTCCAGGGACCGTACACACTTCCTGAAATGATCATGGAAGCGATGTTATTCACACAAACCACTGGAAATGAGAATCCTAAAGGACTAAGAGCTCTACAAGGCCTTGGATCTAGCTACGAGTACAATCAAACATAATCAAACCATTTAGGTCTAAAAGATTCTGAGACAAACTGCTTCCCTGGTTCCGGTTCACCATCGTCCCAGCCCATCTTCACCTGCCCACCCAGCCCTTCGCCCCACCTTCGTTCGTCGCAGGCCAGTGTCTACCACAATTCGGACGCTCGGCCTCAGTGTCGTCGGTCTGGACCGGGGTTGATTTCCTCCACACAATGGCGCAAACAAATCCTAAGTGACCTTTTACAGGCCCAAGTGACCACAAACTGGGATATCAAAAGGCCACTTTGAAGAACCAGGAACATATTGAACGTATGGCGCCCAATTGATATTCGGCTTGACAATCGATGGTACTTTCTCCTTCCGAGGCTTGAGAGGTCCAAATTGATAAACGCCAAGGAACTAAACAATGCTAAAACAGGATGCTGAGGGCTAACAACACGTGGACTTTCAGGTAGGTAGCTCAGGTACTAGTCTACATCTCTCTTGCAATCGCTGAAACGAGAGACGTTGACGTTGCCCCTTTGAAATGAGTCTACAACCTCTCCCTCTCCTTCAGGGTCTCCCCCTCAATGCCACTCTGATTCCCATACACTCCATGGGACTGCCATAGGACTGCCGATCAAGCCAAACCCCCCAAACCACCACCCCTGGCCGTTTCTCGGCAGTCGCATGGGGTCGCGCCCGGACGTCCCGGTCTTCTCGGCTGTCCGGACACCGTCAAGGAGGACTCCGCGATGGGCGTCGCGAGGATCACCTGGTGCGCCGCGCCGGTGCCCGCAGAAATGGACGGCACCGGTGAAAACTGGTGAGTCTGTCTGGAAATATCCCCCAAAGGCTCCATGGGACTGCCGATCAGTTGACAGGGGGGTCAATGTAGGCACATGGCTGGCAGTCACATGGAGAGGTCCTGGGTCCTGGTGACTTCAAGTAACATGTCCCCCCCCTTTCAAGTATCTTCGAGAGCCGAACTGGACCCCCAGAACTGACCCACGGGAGCGAGCGAAAAAGAACGACCAGTTCCGTTGACGGCCAGTTCCACAGGTTGAAGGACCCGGGACCCGTTCAACCAGCCCAGGACGGTACCCTAGTAGGGTCCTATAAGGTCACCTAACCTCTCTTGGAGTTCTCGTTGCAATCCCACAGAATCGCCCACTAAACCATCCACAGCTGGGGGTGCGAGCTGCTCGTAGCTCGTAGCTCGCAAGTTTTATTCGCGTTGGCTCGCCCATGCAGCCACGCCTTCCTATCCAGCAGTTATGTTTGTCCTTCCTGGCTTCCCCAATCTCCATCAATATCCAGCAGTCTTTGGGACATGAACCTTACAATATTTTCTTATATTTCCTATATACTCAAGAGTATACTCAAGAAACAAAACCATCTAGTCTCAAGGATTCTTAAGGTGTTCATGGTATCACTTTCAGGGCCGTTGCCTGGAAGCTCCTTTTTGAAGGGCGAAGATCTCAATGGCCCTGACTTCGGATCCGCGTTTGGTTCAGCTGTCTCTCTATTCCACAAGCACTGATGATGTTTCCTTGCTCAACTGCTGCAGGGACCAGGAGAGGACCTGGATCATCGGCTCAATTGGTTTCTGAGACCCTCCAAAGTACCGAAAATGGAACATGACCCTAAAAAACAGGTACTTGTATACTTAGGTATACTTGTACCATCTTGTACCCATGTGTTTTTTTACAGTATTTTGTTTTTGAGGTACTTGAAGTCCAGGTCTTCGCCGTGCCCCGCACCTTGCGCCAGCCCTCTTTGGCTTGAAGCACGGAATCTTGCTCGTGGGTCTCCATGGTGCCGTACAAGGGACTGACCTGGGACCGGGGGAAAATCCATGTCCAGTTGGCTTCTCAGTACCCAATGGCCGTGTCCTAAAGGATGCAAGGTTATTCGGGATACCCACCGACCTCAAGCCGGGAGCACGGAGAATCTCCAGTTGGCACTTGCCTTTGAACACGCGATGTTTAGGTCCCACCCAGGGCTGGCCCGCCCTGGGGGGCGGGGCCGTGGGCTTGCACTGGCGCACCACGAAACCCGGCTTTCAGGTCGATCCTAGGGGAGCCATGGAAGAGGATGTTGCCACCCCCTGGTGAACAAGTCATGCCGGTGATGGTCTTCGTTGTAAGATACGTAGAGTCCACTGGGATCCCACAGAACTCATGATCACTCATGTCCATTGACCCGTTTCTGGACGATGTTCACTTCTAAGTTTGATGGCAAATGACAAAAAAACAATTGAACAACAACAACAACAAACAAACAAAGGCAATGTTGTTCCATCGACTCGACACAATCACATCTTCCAAAAGGTACCCCATACCTTCGACAGTAATTAGTTAGTTCGATGTCAAAAACATTGATGTCACCGGTTCACATTTGGGCACAGGAAAAACACATAAAGCAACACCTGGATTCTCCTACACCTGGGGTCCGGCAGGCCAAACATGCCTTGGACCTTGTGCGGCCTTCAAGCGACCAACAAACAAACTAGCCATCCGATCAGAGCGGACACCGGCACCACCCACAAACACTTATTGGGTTTCTTTCCTGTTTAATGCCAACAAGTCTCTGCTTTTGCTAGGCCAAAATCAGTTGACTCGCACCTCCGAGTCCATGCAGTGGACATATCTTTTTGCCACGCCCTGCCCCCCCCCCTCTCCAACGACCCCGAGACGCACGCGCCACCCGGCGTGACCTGGATCTTTCGGCTCAAGTCCACTTTGGAGTTGTCAATCAACCGATGTGCCTCATGCAGAAAGGAAAAGGAATTCAATCAAAACACCAAACAATCCATGAAATGTTTGCATGATAGGCGGACTTGTGTTGCCGGATTTTGTGAGCATATGTGGAATATTTGTCCTAACAGGTGTGCCACGCAAACAACAAAAAATGTTTTAAAAAACAATGTAGCATGAACGTGGCCTCTGCCGTCTCCAATCTTTGCTGTGCTGTGAAAGGCAAGAAATGCACGACACCCGAAACATGCGCCTGGACATTCACCCTCCAAAACACCAAAGAAACACTCCAGGTGAGGAAATGTCTGGGATATAAACAACCCCAAGATACCCCAAGTGATCGGTAACTATGCCAGTCCCATCGGTCGCGTCTGGGAAGCGCGCGACGAAATGCCACAAGTCCCATGCAGCCCAAGCGCCCAGGGCACCAAGTTCTTGGGGCGTTGACCATCGCCAATCTGAGTCAAGAAAGGGGGGCCGGCAAATGAAGGCTCCTTGGGCAGGAGGATTGGTTTCACCACCCTTTGAGGGGAAGTTGGCACAAAAACAGTTTACATAGACGAAACAAAACCACCTTTTGCATCCTTTTGCTCAATCGTTTGGGCCTAAAGCGTCCAAAGATTCGGTTCATGATTTGTGCGCGTTGTGCCTGGGTGGCTGTCATCACTTGATCACGGTCATGTTTTGACACTCCCCGCCCCCATTTTTAAAATTCAGGAACAACCTGCATAGCCTAATGGGAGCTGCCTTGGCAAAATGCTTACAGCTTTGCAGAACATCCCGTTTGGGCGTCCTGCGGTAGGATGCTGTGTGTTCTAGCCAGCATCAACGTTTTAAGGCGCTGATCCTGCTGCTTTTTCTCAAGCTCTTCAGTGTAGAGCTCCAGTATGCAGATCTCGTCCTCTCACTGGCATGTGCTTCACAGCTTGCCAAAGCATGAGAGTCGGCCTCTGCCGCATCTTTTCCGGAAGGAACCCTTGAGGGCGTTTCGGGGGGTTTTGATGTTGAAATCAGAAATGAGGGTTCTTGCTGATGATATGGAATTTCGGGCTGATGTCCCCTGGTCATCAGACACTGGGTAGAGATAGATCACGTGGAAAACATGGTTCAAGGCAAATGAAATCAACCTATAGTGCGTGTCATAAAACCTTGTTCTCAGTTTGTTCACAGTTGCGCAGCGAAGATGTGCACCATATATGTGTTGGCTCAAAGAAAAACGATCTGGCTCATTCAAATTGTGGGCCTTTGTGTTGGCCACAGCCTCAGCTTGATTCATGTGATTTTGTGCGGTGCGAGAGCTGAGCTGATAAGCTGTTCTTTTTTGTAGGACGCAGCCTTTTTTGCTCAAATCTTGGTCTGTCAAGATATGGCCTTAAAAGCAAGGCAGTTTGCTTGGATACATGCTAATATGTGCGGTCTGCTCATCTTGCTTTGAATGCAGGTTTGCATGGTGGTCCTCCCTGTGAAGAAGGCCAAAGGGCTTGCAGCAGCAGGGGTCCTATATACTGGATTAGTGAGCCTGGTTTTTTGGCGCTGTACATTATGTTGATGTTTTCTTCAGGTATGTTGACGTTTTTGGCTTCCCTGCTGTATTTTGTGATATCCTCACATTTTAGCTCTTCAGTCTCATCATTGTTTTTGTCTTCCTGTATGCCCTTGAACAGGTTCATATCCTTTTGTATTGTCTGTAGTCACAGCTTCTCCACCTTCAAGTGGTTCACTAAGTCCTTCAACTTCTCCTCCTGTGGTTAAAAGCTCGTGGCATTTCATGGCATCTTGCACCAGTCGCTGCTCGTTTGTCCAGCCTGTAGATGGCCCTTTCTACATACGCTTTCTCCTCCCACGGCTGCGCTGTGAATCTGACACATCTTGGCCTTTCTTCTCCTGGTCACCCTTCAATTCTATCTGCCTCCTATTCCTCGGAGTCATTGGCGCCTGGGCAGGTTGACTGGCAGCCGGAGACATTCTGTTGCTTCGGCATCCAGTGAAGGCTGTCTGCATCTTTGAGCTTTGGCCGGCGCGCTTCATCAAGATGCGTTAGGGTGAAGATCCTCGCTGTGAATTGCAATGAAACCCTTTCGTTGCTGTTGGGCACTGAACTGTTCCCCTCTTCATGCCTCCTTCCTTTCCTCAGGAGCTTTCCAGTGCGTAGCGTTGGGTGTTCCCCAATCTCCTCCGCAAGATTCCCACTCACGATTCTTGCCTTGGGCGTCCACCATACGAAGCCCCTTCAATCCAGGCTTCCACCTGGGCTCATTGGCTCCTCCGCTTTGTTCGCCCGTTTCCGGTTCTCCTTGGCAAGCTCTTCAACCTTCCAATAGATGCCTGGCTTCCGTCCTTTGTCGCCCTTCTCCTGAAACTTTCCTTTCAGGCTATTGCCTTTTATCTGAAACATTCGAAGATCCTTTTCCTTATGTCTTTGCCTTTCCTTTCTCCTTTCCTTTTGACTCACCCTTGAATCCTTTGATTTGCCATCTCCTCCTTGCCCTTCTCATTCTTGTTCCAGATGCAGTCCACTTCCTTAAATGTTGCTTCATCTTCCCCGAGCCACGTAGGTAGGCTCAAACTGTTGCCGTTGTCCCCCGTTTGTGGCACGTGCTACTAGTTCTATGATTCCATGACCGTGTTCTTCAACTGCGCAAGCAGTACTGCCTGTAATCCACAGCTGAAGGTGAGCTGGCCTGAGATGCGCCCATACTCCTTCACAGTGGGCTCTTTCTGGGGCAGTCGCTCTTAGTTTTCACTGCTGCGAACAGTACTCAGGACAGCTAGCTGTATCAGAAGAGCTAAGGCTCGTGCCCGTGTAGCTGGCTGCGTTTCTCTCGCGTCACAAGCTCTGCCATGCCTAGTATGAAATCAAGACTCCAGAGCCTCACTGTCATGCCTCTAGTCTCATCCACATCTCGTCCAGGGTCATAGGCTCCATGCAAATGTCCTTCACCAGCGGCATGCTGTGTGCCATGGCCGGCTCAATGCCCTTGATGCAGTTGGCGAAACCATTCCTTCAACTGGTTGTCTCAAGTGTCAGGCTTGAAGCTTGAACCTGGCATCTTCATGTGTCTTGACCATGTTGTTGTAGCCTGATCAACTGTCAACCTCACCAGCACCAATGGGATCTGTCTCAAGCTCTCATCCGCCATGTCTGTTGTGCACGGGAGGAACGGGTGAAAGGTCTTTGTGGTCGTCTTTGGTTCACTGTCGTCCTCTTCAAGCTCCAGGCCCCTGTAGGTCAACAGGTTGCTGAAGTTCCAACTCAGCGCCTATCACACTGGAAAGCCTTGTGTGGACATACGCGACTTGCAAGCAACTCACAAAAATCTCTCAGCCTCTGCGTCGCTTCAAAGCTTCTCAATCATTGGGGACTGGCAGAACCCACCCAATAGCATTGCAGGAACTGTACTCCCGGCCAAATTCCACTTCGGCATCCTGGCACCAGACCACAGTGTCCTTTCAGGCAATGTAATCGACTATGCACTTCTACATGATAGCATTGCCAGCGCCACAGCAATTACCTCTGAGTGGGCAGTAGTTCCAAAGACGACTAACCCGTAGCCCGAAAGTCACAAACACTGCCTGGAATCCACTCAAATCGCGATCAAAACGTATGTCAAAACCAAAATTCGTTGGGCCAGTCAACAGCATCCAAGTGGCGCTATTCTGCCAGAAGAGCAGATCGGATTCACCGCTTTCAGCCTGCAAAACTAGAACTTCTTTGGGTTTTGTAGAACATACGGTATTCATGTAATGTATAAACTTCAGTCAAAACAAACACTGTCTGACACTCAAACCTAGAGCCCCGATTCCACACTGACCCGTACAAAATCCAACTGGACAAGATCCCTAAACATCTTGACAATCTAGTGGCTTCTTGTTACTATAGTAGGTATAATGGCCTCCACCCTAGTAGCGATGGCCTCCACCCTACTAGCAATGGCCTCCACCCTAGTAGCGACGGCCTCCAACCTAATAGCGATCTGAACATATTATATTGACAGTATTTCATCTCATGTTTCAATAAGCAGGCTTCCCCCGTGCCCTCAGCCAGGCCACCATGTGCGAAGTTACAGGAATGCCCGCGGGCGCAAGCACGAACTTGCACAAACGCGGAGCGACGTGGCAAAGCGTGTCCGCGAGTGATTGCACGAACTTGCACAAACGCGTCTTCTTGTGAGCATCCAAGCCTCACCCAATCAAGTCCCAGTCTCTCCCCCATGGGGTCTCTCTTTTCCTCTTTCAAAAGAAATGCTTCCGAAACGGACATCCAAATCCCGGGGCGAAGGTGTGGCGAACCCATGGGGTCACAAAGCCGACTCAGTCCAAGCGAGAAGATATCCATGCCCTGCAGTGGGATCACTGCAAGCCTGGCCATCAAAAAACACAAGAAACACATAAGAAACACGATGTCATATCACCACGGAGGTTAGATGCAGCATCATAAGTTTATCATCCCTTTAGAAGCCTTTCCAATCAGGCTAAGAAGTAGACTCAATCAAGTTCTCGGCAATAGATGAACCAGTAGCAAAACAAACGAAGTAGCAGTAGCATAAGCAGCATTCTATATGGCGGAAATAATAGCAAGGCTCATTTCCGTTGACATGCGCTCAAGGTGTTCATCGACCAAACTCTGCTTTGTTACAGTAAAGGGCAGCCCATAAACACCTCGGATCGTTTGATAGCACGAGGGGCCCCCAAAGAAAACCGGTTGGTGTTTTCAACCCACTTGAAACATATGAGTCCGAGGGTCCAATCATCCCCAAGTATGGGTTGAACATAAAAAATGACTAGAAACCATCACTGACTATAGTTTCGAACGAGCTGGAACAATGACCTCTTCCTTCTTTTCTCTTCTGCAGCAGTATTGAAGCTCGAGCAACTCTGTCACTCCGAGCTGTAGTGGCACACCTCCTGGCTCCAAGAATCACCGGCTCCTGAAGCAAGACTGGCCAAGAGTAGAAGTTCCACCACCCAAATCCCAACGCTCTGGGCTCCGCTGGATCTCGTGTGCCTTGAGGGGTTCGTGATGCTCGTTGCAGTTGGTGTCGTGGGCTGGCGGAGGCGGCGCTTTACCACCAGCGCTCCGCTATCATGCGAAGCAAGCACACCTTTTGCTCAATCGCTTGGGCCTAAAGTGTGCAAGGTACACTTTACTATTTCTGCATGTTATGCCTGGGTGGCTATCATCTCTGGATCATGGTCATGTTTTTTGTGTGTACAGTATGTATTGTGCATCCAATATCAAATGGTTTGTACCTCTATGCAGGTATAAATGGTTTGACTGCTTGCCTCTCTTGTCTAAGAGTCTAACAGCATCTAGCAGCCGTCTCGATTTGACAACATATTCCAAACAATCCCACACATCACCAGGGGTCCGATCTGGAAGGTGGTTGCAAGGGCCTTCTACGGATGGGGGTGTCAATCTCTGGAACTTGGTGATCATCTGGATCAAGTCCTGACGTTCGGCTGGAAGGGAGTGCAACGCACCACGCGTTCTCAAGCCATCTGAGCCGCCCGGCGCCCTTGTTGTTCAAGGCAATCCAAACGTACCTCGAGATCGAAGCACAAATGAAGAGTCCGGACAACGGTTCTACCTAGGGTCTTTAGCAATTCATTGTCAAGCGCTGCCCGAAATGCCCCATAAATCGTCAATATACCATGCCAGCATATACAGTAACCACAGCAGTGCCAACAAAAAACTAGCTAATGGATACCGTACCTTATACCATATGTTCGCACCATTAGCATTATTTCGCATCCCCAAAAAACATCCTTTCGCTAATGCATTCTCCTCGCCACTCCGCTCTTCCTTCCCAGGTCACATGATTTCCCGCTCCCCGGGGACGAAGACCAGCACATCGCCCGGGTGTTCCTGGGGTCGGTCGATGAGTTCAAAGGACGACCGGGGACATTTAGGGATGTGAAGATCATGGAAAATTCTCCCAAGTGAGCTCCACAAAACATTGTTTTTGGAGATCCCGAGTTGGCACATTCTTCAGGGGAGCAGAACCTTGGAACAAGTGCCGCACTTCCAATTCCATGTTCTTGGATTTGCTTTAAGGAAAAATCAAAAGAAACGACGCAAAAACCGACTTCGCTCGGCCTCGAGGGCCTCCTCCACTTGCTGGGCCACCAGGTCGGCGAACCTGTGCGGACCTGTGCGGACCCGTTTTCGTGCGGCGTCTTCGTCAGACTCGACTGGACATGAACAAAACAACATATTGTGTTTTATAGTGTTTAATGGTTTTTTTAATTATTTTTTTATTTGGGGATCTTGATATTTAACAAACACTTTAAAGTTTGGATCTCTAACATTCAAAGCACAAGACCTGGTTGTGGCTGAGAGACTCGGATCTCCAACAAACGCATAGTTTATCATTAACATCGCCGGACCCAGGCTAACTCTGTGAATCTTGAAAATTGAAACAAATGCAAAAACAAAACTAAAAAAGCAACTACAAAAAACACAAGCAAAAATCCAGCAAATTCAAAAAGCAAAAAAACAAATGTGTAAAAGCAAAGGCAAATCCAAAAAGCAAAGAAAAAATGAACAAGCACAAACCAAGAAAGGCAAATCCAACAAGCAAAAACAGCAAAAACAAAAAGCAAAAATCAAAAGCAATTTTATGTGTTTTTTTTCATTTGCTTGTTGTTCTTTTTTCTCCGCTTTTTGCGTGTTCATTTGTTTTTGTTCGCATTGCATTTTTTGTGTATCGCTTTGTTCCGCTTGTTGCTTTTTCAGTTTGTTTTTGTGCTTTTTGGATTTGCTTGTTTTTGATTTTGCTTTTTCATATGTTTTTGTTTGCTTTTTGGATTCGTTGCTTTTTTGTTTTTGTTTTTTGTTGGTTTCTTAAAAAAAAAGGAAAAACCATCAGAGATAGCCTAAGTGGTTGTCTTGAGTTTATCATTGTTTGGTTGTCATGTTGGGTGACTTGGATATCTAGGTGACCTTTCACTGGTGACCCACTTAAAGCAGTGCTCGATGTCATCAGTTCCGTGGCTATTGCGTTACATACTTCATTCAAACCTAGGACTGGCGTGTAGACCCAAGCGCAGTCAAGTCCAGGACAAACAGTAAGAATAACAAAGACAAAAACACAAAAACACACAACAAAACAACATAACACATAGAATAACACACATACACTCAAACATACACTGCTCATGTGTAAAATGGATGAAAATGGTGTCAATATCAGGGACATGAGTGGCTTTGGGTACTGGACCTACTCACCACTGAACTGGACCCACCAAACCCACCAAGAGCGTCGCTCTCTCGCGCGCCGCAGCTCCTCGCGGCGAGCTGCTGGAGGTGGCGAGGATCGCGAATCCAACTCACCCGCCGGCCTTGCGGCTCCCAGTCCTTGAGCTTCAAGACGGGGCGATAAAAGACTTCGACGGGAAAGCACCTGAACCGGCTGGAAGTCACATGCAGGAACGGGGTGGGTGAGGGACTCAATTTGCGGAACGGGGAATTCCAACAGGGTCTGCTGGGAATCTAGGAATCAAACTGAAGCAAAATTAAGAACTAAAAGGGCTAGCTAGCAAAACTCAACTAATACATACAATAATATGGATGGATCACCATATTGAAACTTGATGAACTTTGCAAATTGCAAATTGGGTTCTTGTTTCGACGACATGTCAGAACACAACGACGAACAAACCCCAAACATAAAAAAAACATTGGGGATGACATCGAATCACCAATCCCACGCGCTTGCGCCCACCCGACCTTCCCTCGCTGATCAAGGTTTGAGCGTTATCCAGCAGGTCGGCAACCTGTGAAAGGTGGCAGCCAAAAGCGCAGGGCAACGAAGGAGGAGTTGCCGGACCTCATTAGCACCCCTGCCACAGCTTCACAACCCTTGGTGATTTACGACAACCTTTCCCAAAAAAGGCGGTCCTAGGCATAGGGGATCATAGGGGTTCCGAGAAAAGCCGTCAAGGATATGACAATGACTCAAAAACCAACACAACATCGGCCAGTGCACGAGGCTTCACAGCCGTTGCGGCGCGCGAGACACGACTGGTAAGTGAAGAAAGGGCACCCATATTTGCAGCCCATGTTGAACAATAACTACAACTTCATGAATATTGACTATCATTGAATGACCAATCCAATCTATGACTGGAAGACTCTGTCACGTCACCGATGTCACCGGCACTCAAACGTGCTCTTTTTTCGTCCGGTCTCCCGGTCTACCGATCCCACCCATCCCACGACGGTCCGATGCTGCGCCCGTTCGGTGAGGTTGCCAAAGGTCGCGCTCATGATGAGCAGCCGAGCTCGAAGGCGCCTGCGCCCGTCGAAGGCTCATGTCCGTTAAGAGTAACAAAGGGCATCGCTGCAAGAAACTACTAGATGCTACTAGTAGTTCCTGCATGGCCATACTACTAGTAACAAGAAACTACTAGTATACATTCAAAGGACTATTCAAAGGCTCCAACGTTCTGACTTTGGTGTTTTTTCCAAAAATGACCAGGTAGTTCGTCCTTGCTTCGTCACCTGTGGGTTTGCAAGGGTCATCTGTGAGATCGCTTTCAGTCTGTGATGCATGACCAACTGCATGGCGTCCCACTCGACGCGTCGAGTGTCACCTCTGGCGCTTCAAGTGGGCGCAAAGCGCAAAGGACAGGTCGGATTCGATGCTGCGCTCGTGAAACTCGTCGAAGCAAATGCACCCGATGCCTCTCGGATCAAAAACATGCAAGTAGAGAACAACTGCTGAAAATGTAGCTCTGGAATTGATGGTTTGGAACATCAATATGAGTGGACGCATGGAATCCGGATCAATGGATGGATGTGACACGTTCCCTGCCAGCTTGAAGAAACTAAACTTATTTCAGGTCTGAATACTCGGAGAGGTGACATAAACCACACAAACTGCCGAAACTATTGCACTTGGGCCCACACATGGTGTCAAAGCAAATCATCATTGCATTCGCAAAAATATTAACTGCTGCAAGCATAGGCAAGAAAAGCCAATGGCTACGGATGATGATGCGGCAATTCCAGAAAAATACTAAAACCAAAATCACATGAAATTCATAAGTTTTCTTTAGAGGAGTATGGTCCAAACAATTGGCCCTGACGATTTTGCTGTTGCAATGACTTGGTTTTCGATGCATCCAACTGAGCCTTCCAATTCCGGGTTGAGCGCCAAATGGCGCACAAGCACACCTTCGGTGACCACCTTGCGGCATTGGCAGCATTTTTGGGGACGTCCTGCCCCCCCCCCCTTTTGGTTTGTGTGAGACCTTCAACTGTTGTTTTGTCCCTTAAACACAAAAGCGATTGTATACAGTTTGTTCTCTGAAGTTCTCTTTGTACGTGGTCCATCACGGTTGGTCGATGCAAAGTTTCTGTGCTATTGTTTGTTTCACACACACACAGAGTTCAGTGTATGCGCTTGGTGCCCGTGTTTGTGATGGAACCGGCCTCAATCTGGGTACGATTTGACACGATGCATTCGTGTCGTATTCGATAGCCTTGGCGCAAATTTTGCCACATCTGGCAAGCCATCTGTGGCGAATGTGGCCGAGAACTTCCAATGAGGAGGACCCTCAAAAATTGTAAGTTACACGTTCAAGTCAAATCATGTCCAAATCCACCATGGTCAACATGGTCAAACCATGTCAAGCATTGTAACATGCGTGCTTTTCGCGCGTTTGCATCCCTATCACACCGCCTTTCTCGCCGTCCCCCAAGGCTTCGACCCACCGTCTCGCCAAGAGCGTCGCCCCAAAGTTCGGCCATGCGCCTCAAGCGTGACGACCGGCGGTAGTGTGGGGTAGTCCATTAGACACCCCTTGGAGGGTCCAGGTGCAGAATGACTTTTTTTCTTCACTTTCTTTTCTGTTTGTGACCAGTAGCCAGTAGCTTCTTGTGGTGGTTTCTGATTGTGGACTTATGTGGACTTCTTTGTTCTGAAAACATCTGCAAAACTAATATTGGTTTCTTTTCGCAGGATTCGAGACAGCTTCAGGCAAGGGCTCAAGACAAATAAACACACAATAAATCAAGCGCGCAACCAGGAGGATTTGAAACACATACCTGAATAAAAAAAAAAAACAACAATGCCCTTGCCACGAAACCCAGAATTCCATATATACATTTACTGCACCTATTCACAGTGAGGCCCTGTCCAGCAGGCCTCACCGGGTGTAAAAAAGAAATCACGGTCAGCGGCGCCGACCCCCAAACGCAGTTCCTTCCAGTTCCTTCATGCAGCTTTAGCTCGGGGATCACGCGCACACGAGCCGAAGTTCGGTCCTAAAGGTTTTTGTTTACACACTTTTCGGGTGTTTGTTCGTACATGGTCCCAAACACTGTTGGGATTTTGTAATGGCAGCCCCTGACGAGAATAACATTCTATCTATATTTTGTGATTGATAGATCCTCTTGAATCTCTTTTTGCTTCCTCTCGGTTCCTATTGATTTCCTCATATCTTTTAAGCAATATCACCCCCTAGGATATCTGACCTCTTGGGCTGAGTGACTTGAACAAAAACATCACCTGGAAAAATGTCTACGCTTTTCATGTTTGTGATTTATGAGTTTCCCATTAAGTTCAGTGATTCAGTTAAAACACCTTATAAAATCTTATCAAACTATTGCAAGAATCAACAAAGGGGGTAGCGCAGTAAACCCAAATCTTTACTGTCCACGATCTTTTGCACGGCACAATGCTTGGCAGAGTTAGTTGAATAGTTGCCTTTTCCAAAAGATTGTCCTGCTCCAGTTTTCTGCGGCCTTTCCTTTCCCAAAGCTTCCCACCCCACAAAATTCAAAACCTTTTTCTGTCAGTTCATTTTGAAGCCCTTTATTACGTTTGCCCACGGCCATCTTGAGCAGGCAATCGTCCTGCCTTTGTTTTCTGTCAACCGTTCCTTTTGCCACGGCGCTTGCTTGCTCCTGCGGTCTGCTGCTGGTTTGCTCCTGCTATGTGCTGGTACTGGCCAATGCAAGTGTTCAATTGGAGTGCAGGAAGATTTCAATTAAAAGAACGGGTAATTATTGTACAACATATTTTGCCTGACTAGAATAGGCTAGGCTCCTTTTGATTCCCTTTTGGCTTCCTTTTCATTCCTATTGATTCCCTGCTAAAGTCCGTTCATCCCTATTGATTTTCTTTTACGGCCCTTTTGGTTCCTATTGATTCCCTACTAAATTTGTTTTGATGTCTGTTGATGTTCTTTTGAAGTGCTTTTGATTACCATTGATCCTCTTTACAACCTCTGTTGATTCCTACTGATTCCCTGTTAGGCTCCTTTTGATTCCTATTGATTTTCTTTAAGCATCCTTTTGATTCCTATTGATTCCCTGCTAAGGCCCTTAAGTAGGTGTGGAATAACACCACCCAGTAAAAAAACATAAAAGAACATGTTTTTTCTTTCTCGAATGCCGAGTCATGAACCCTAGCAACAACACACAATAATCCAACACAAATGGTCCTTTCAACACCTAACTAACGACATCGAGCAAACGCAGCGAAGGCCCTCACATTGGTGCCCGCACTTGGCGACGCTGATGCAGGTGATCCGCCGTGGCTGTAGCACTATAATCTGCGAGGCCCACGCTGAGGCACGAGATGAGCCAGGGACATTGGAAGTGTCCCAGAAATTCAGTTGCACGATATGACAGGTGGGGCACCAGAGACCGTTGGTTCATTTGTCTTCTTGCGATGTGACACCGTAGGGCCCTTCCTCGCTGAAAGGTGTCCTGAGCTGTGTACACTGGATATGAGCAAACCCTACAAACAGCTTTCCTAATTATGTTTTTTCCTTGTACTCTTTCATCTCTTCGCTCAAGTCCAGTTTGATTTGCAAGTGACTTGTCTTCTGATTAAACCCCGGGACCCCTTATGTTGAATTGCATGTCATGTTTGGGTGTAAAAAGTAATCGTTGATCATAGTGGCGAAATGATGTTGCGATACTAATTAGGACAAATTCTCAGAGTCGAAGAAATTGGTCAGGAATCTTAGACTACCTTAGATGCCTGCGACAGCACTTCAAACACATAAGTGCATGTCACATGTTCTCATATTTGCGTCCACTGTCTCTGGCGACATGGAGTGCTAATGGGTGTGGCCGAAGGCCGAAGGCCATTGGATACCTGATAGCTGACATCCAAAGCCCATAAAATCACATATCCCATATCATATGCATAAATCATGGTGGGACATGGTTCCCTCCATGGTGTTGTCTCTACACTGAAAGGAAACGGGATTTAACACAGGCACGCATGACACCATACAACAGTTGGATCATCATCCTCATATTAATAGCATCATCTAACTCATCATCATCAGCAGCAGCCCATGTTCCACATACACACATATTAATCATATTGAGTATATATATATTTATGTTATACACATAGAGTATACATACATATACATACACTATGCGCCACCGGCCACTCTCAGTTCTCGTGCCTTGCCCTCCACCAGGCCACTGTCCAACAAGGCCAAGGGAACGACTGTGGTCTTCCCGGCACCCGTTGGCGCCTAGCTCTTCACCGGCAAGCGGAGAAGTGGAGAGTTGGCTGATCTCGGATATTTGATGCAAATCGCACCATCTTTGGCAACCCCTCCCCAATTAATTGAGTTGAATACAACACGGTACAACACATATCAAATTGAGTTACAGTAGAGAGGGGGTAAGTCGACACCTGGGCAAGCTGAAGGAGCCCCGCATAAGCCACAGCTCCTCTCACTTCACATGAACTCCACCGCTCCCCGAACTGCTCCGAGTGTTGATTCGACTAAACCGCTTCGAACCCCGCGGAGCCGCCTGGAGCACCAGATCAGCACCGGATCGACAGTGGTGCAGCACGCTGGGCAAAATCTTCTGGATGGGCAAGTCCTGACGAGACCGAACATCCCCTGATTCACGCGCCCCATCCTCTCAGTCTCAGTCTCAGCTCAGCGAGGAGGGAGTCAGACCAGGTCGAAGGAGTCAGGTCTGTCACACCGGTCTGCCCTTGTTGAAGGCCTTGTACCATAGCTTCTCAAAGCACTGGATCCAAGTCAGGACGCCAAGAAAGAAAACACACACACAGTCAGTGAGGGAGTCAGACCAGTTGTTGCATGCAATGCTAGATTCAAACCAAATGCGGCCCTCCAAAAATACAAAATCAAAGTGCATGCAACTTGCACCCAGAAATTTGCACTCATGAAGGGGTACACAAATCATCCGGCCCGCCGTCGCCCAGCACGGCACCAAGCACTATTATATCACTTGGCTCAGGTCCATGTGCCTTTGCATCCCCCCAAGAAAGCAAGGAATTGGGGCATACCAGTACCAGTTGATGATGGTTAATAAATACCCTTCCCCAAAATAGATCAAAATAGTGTTTGCTGATGTTTACTGATAATGAGACACACACACCCTACAAAGAGCCACTTCCACCTGGCATCCTTCCTTTAAACCACTCAAAAGAAACGACGGCGCAAGTGAACCCAGAACGACGTTTTCGACGTCGAACAGTTTCGACTGTGGCGACTCACTCAGATTCCACACGGTGTCTTGATATGGGCGACGCTTCTGGCCTGGCGCCGTGCCACAGACCGTCTCTACGAGTCGCTCTACGACTGGCCATGCCGCTTCAGCTCCCCCAAAAAGGACCTTCGCCCAATGGGTTCGAAGAATCTCAAAGCACACTGGGAGTCTGATTCAAGGACTCTTCAGGCAGCCAGTCGAAATCCCGAATTTGCCTGATTGCTGTGGCCACCTGAGCAGCTCTCAAAACAGTGCTTTGCTTACGCGGAACATTCATATGACACCACTAAACATGAACAGGGAGTTTATAGAGTGGCTCATCTGCCATCAATATCCATCAATATCCATAAGTCCTATATCTGAACCCATTGTGATCCATTCCCACACCCATCTCCATCCCACACCGAACGGATCTCATCCTGCCTGCACCGCCCGGCCTAGCCTCGAACGACTGCGGGCGGTTTTCAGAGGGCTCGGGCATACAGTTACAGTCACCAAAACGGCTGACATGGAGAACAATTGAGAACAGTATGTCAAACTGGCAGAGCCAGTAGACAAACATCAATATAAACTATATAACTATAACTACCATAAACTCAACCAGTAGTACTGATTAGTTCTTACATGTTCTTACCATGAATTACTGCCAAATATCGTAGATGACTGATAACTGCAGCAGTATCACTTGAAACAGTAAGAAGCAACAAAAAGTGGAAACTCACAGGTTGTGTGATCGTTTGTGACTGGACCCGCCGCCTGATGTCCCGATTTTTGTTTGGTCACACCGATAACGGTGAGACACGACATCGAAGCACCTGCTTGCCGACACACAAACAAGTGATGTAGGCGTTTGATTTCATAAAGCACCCTCGTTGGGATTGAACAACCTTGCGGGGTTGAATGTTTGATCAATAGTCTACATCCCCTATTCTCACCCTCCAAATTTGTGACCAAGCGATACCAACATATACCAAGTGTCTCTCTTCTCTACCTGGACTGGACAAACCGATTCTCCAATGCCTCTACCGAAAAATAGTAAAACAAAAACAACGAACAGGACATCAGAGCGGAATTTTCCACAACATGTCACAGCCAGGCAGTAAGAGCTTCATTGGACTGGCCCTTTGATAGACTTGGTATCACTTTGTCAAATGCTTTGATACACTGAGGGCTCGATGTATACAGGTCTATGGACCTGAGAGTGGACAACCGGCCTTTCCAGGGGAACACTTGGTTCGTTGCATGGCGAAAAAGGATCCAACAAGCCCCTGCCTCAAACACACCGTTGGACGGACTGCGGGGGCAACATATCAACATTACAATTTCGATTAGATTCATGACTACCAGGACCTTCCAAGCCCGGTGGTTTTTGGACACCCCTTAACCTCTAAGAGGCTATTTATAGACACCTCTGGGAAGGTTCTGGTATTGACACCTTGTCTAGCTGTCGGGCATTGGGGAACTCTCTCAAAAGGGTCGCTCCGAGAAGAAAGAGAACACCGAGAGCGCATGGGGGAAGAACTGGATCTCCCGCAGCCACCCCAGCTCCGAATCGCTCCAAAGCGTATCTTTGCGCGGTTTTTGAGGAGTCCAGCCCTCGTACCACCATGGTCAAAACCAGTTTCAACCGGACCGTCGACTGAGCCCGGGACTTGACCGTCTTGAGTCATCGACCTGAGCGAAAGAAACATGGCGGGCGTCAGGTGCCAGGTGCCAGGTGATGAATGGTGCCAGGTGTCATTCCACCTTTGCACTACCTTGATTGGCAAACACATGGGAACTGCATGGAAGCTCCCAATTTCTCAGCTGTCTAATGCGACGCCGTGCTTTTTTGGGGACTCTCTGGTGGGTTCTTTCACATCTTTCAACTGCATTCATGTTGGATCAAAAGAAATCCAGCAGAAAGTCAGGACACTCCTGAGGAGAACTGGTCTCTGGATGCTTCAGTGATGGTCCTCAATTGATCAAGGGGCAAAGTGCTGCTAAGTGGAAGCATGCTTCACAACCGTAGCCCCAAACACATGCTGGCACACTTCTCAGCCAAGACATTGCAAAGCCAGTTTAATCTGCACCTCTCTGTACTCCAAACTCACCACCGTGAAAACACCCAGCACGCAAGGAGCAGGAACTGAGATGTCTTCAGCACAACCTCAACATGCCAATACATCCCACGTCCTTCCTTCCAAGAGATGTCTTCAGTGAAAAACCATGAAAAACCACACTCATAGGCCCATTTCTCCACACTCCTGCCTCGGCCTCTCCATCACCGGCGAAGCCATGGCCGCCTTGGGGAAGCTCACATGATGAGGTGAAGGGTGCAAACAAGTCGAAATGTCGCTCCAAAAACCATGGCCCATAGCCGTCATACCAAGCATAGCAGCTGCCTCTATCAATCGCCGCTTGGGGGGTGTCAAGTGCTTCTCGGTGGAGAACAACCGTCGACCGTGCGCCTTTCAGGGCCAGAAGAAGCAGGCCAAGCGGTCAAAGCGTCACAAGAATCCTTTGGTAGAGGCTCTTCTAAGTGCCCGGCCAGCGCTGCGCCTCAGTCTTTGCATTCACAGGTAGCCCTTGCGATGAACAAAATCCATTGATGATCTCTGTTGGACCTTTAGCCAAACGATTTTAATGATAAAAAAAAACTCGGAAATCCTTGGAACATCAACATCCGCGCTACTATGCTGATCATCATGTGTTGAAGCCTTTCACATAATCATAAACCAATACGTTGAACACTTTGCAAGCTCCAAGCCACCCCACTGCAGGCATCCAAGTCCATTTCTTAGACGCACCCCCCAAGAAGAAGCTATGGTGGGGTGTCTTTGGAGTCCGAAGCTCTGTGTCTTTGGAGTCCGAAGCTAAAACAAAGTGTGTTGTTGGATGACTGCCCCCTGGGCCATTATCCATATGTGGAACTTTACCATTCCAACCCGCCAGGGTCATACGAATGTAGAATCTTGAGCAAAAAATATATCTCTACCATACTCCACCCCTGTGCTGTGGGATTTTAAAGTATCTCATGATGGTTAGGTTGCAGGCCTTGTTCGAAAATAGTGATTTGCTTCTTTACTGACTGTTACAGGTACACTCCCGAAAACTAACATAGACCCTGACCTCCTGGCCCCCCTGGAAGAGTGTTTTCCTCTACCAACCAGTGGTTTTCAGGGTCCATGTTAGTCTTCCAGGGCGTAAGTTCGGACAGACCCATTTATCCATCCCAAAGTCGACCCTTCCGGGCGAAACGTCCCAGCTGCGGCCACGGCTTCGTCGCGCACGGCGGAGAGCTCCTCGGTGGGGTGGAGTGGCCTCCCATGGTTTTCCTGAGGGTGATGGATTGTTAATTTCATGCTCTGGTCACATCGAACTATATCAGAAGTATATAGAATTACGATGAATTAAGACAAACAAATGACCATCCACTATGAGGTTATGTAACCATAAACCAGCGGGTTTATTGTTCTGGTCATTTGGGTGGCTTTCTTCGGCCTTTGAGCCCGCAGATTTGTGGAATTCCTGTGGGGGTGGGTGGGGTGCTCTTCGGGCTGCCACACTCGTGAGGCAATGATGAATGAGACCAGAGAGATTGACATCTAATAGGAGGCTGCGATCAACCGCACAATTGCTCAAAACTTTTGGTGCACGGAAATCATGGGTCGGCAAACAATGCGTCGTTCCATGTTGCCTAGTGAAAACGACCAGCTTCTGTCGATTCAGCCCTGTAGTGGCCCGCAAACACTCCCCGGAATCATCATGGAAGTGAACAGCCACCTTTTGGTAGGAACATGGCCTTCCAAGGGGCCATTTCTACTTCGATTCCAGGGAGTGCATGTTCTGAACGACCGTCAACAAAGGAAGCTCATTCTCATAATCTGAAAAAACAACGCAGTTCGTTTCTTTAGCCTTCCTTGCGGAATTCAATCTATCATCACAAGTTCGAGAAAGTATAAAAGCAACTTTCCCTCAGCTAGGGTCATCACGTGCTGCCAGACTGCTCGAGGCTAACCTCAATGCGAGCAGGTTTCCAGCCCAGTGACATCTGAGATGAATTTGTGATCACCCATGTCACATGTCCAACATCATCATGTAGGTTGGACACTCGATCACGATCCGCAAATCTCTTCGCCATCCGAGTTGCAACCCAGCTGTTTATTCAAAAAGCAGGTTCCCTCAGCGGACATGGATTTAGGCTCCTGACAGGCAAACCAAGGATCTTGGCAATGCAAAGCCTGTGGCAGGGACGGGAACCATCGGAGAACAAGCTAGCTGCTAGACCCTCCGGCCCCAGCCACATCATGCTACATCTACTAGCTCAAAAAGGCAAAAACTGAACAGCACTACGTGAACTGTAAACGTTGAATTTGTATCCTAAAAATCACCGAACAAACGAATTAACTGAACGCGCACACCTGGAACGCGCAACCTTTTGCGCATTCCGTCCCACCTCTGTGCCATGTATGCCGGGTCGCCTGTGGCCGGACAGGCGATTGTGGGGGAGGCCGGTCAGCATCGTGTAGCTTATTAGCTTTTCTTGCGATCTGGTAGTCACCAGGTTTCTTCACCTGTTCCATGGAAATCACAAGGGTTCAGTCGAACTTGGGCGCGTCTCAGGGACTTGAACAAGATTCCACTGTCATTGGTCTTGGAGAAACTGGGTAAAAAAAATGGTCGGGTGAGAGATGTCCGCTAAATAGAACTTAAACGATTGTCACTAAGGACGCGCTCCATGTCTGCAAGCATGTCTGCCTGAGGATGTTGCCGAGTTCTGTTATATATGCTGAAATGAGTGGAATGACTGACTTTAAGTGCATAATTGCAAAGGGCGAGTACGAACATGATTCTTCATGCTTAACATGACAAGACATGACAAGCACAACACACCTTGACCCGACGACACATAAGCGGCAAACTCATCTCTGTGTGTGTGACAAATCATGGACATCAATCACATATCCCGACATGATCATAGCAGGATCGTGGGCATCATCACCAATGATTGGTGATGTACATAGCATAGCAAGGTGGTTGGTACATCTCACAGGAACCAATCACCAACACTTCCAATCATGATTGGGCAAGGGGATAAGACTCGTCAATGGCATGAGGAGGGAACCTATGACATGCCATCCTCTTGTTATCCCCTATAATTAGGACATCACGAACACGTTCCAATCGAACGTTTCCGCACCCGCAACGCTCCGGGTCATAGTCTCCGCCCCGGAACCATGCCTCTCGCCGTGCCACGTCACGCCTGGCCACGCTGTGTACGTCGAAAAAGGTCACCACGTGATATACTTGGGATGAGCATGGTGACAAGTCACCATCATGTTGACCAGGTCACCATTGTTTGGTGAACAAGGCCACCATCATGTGGGCTACATGTTGATCAAGTTGGATGTGGGCAAAAAAAAGGCACGAAATCGATTTATGCACATCATTCATCGGCGCGTGTACTGTTAATGAAGGAGTAATGAGTACTTGAGATGTATGTGTATATATATATATAGCTCTATCTAAGTAGATGAGGAGGGTGGGGCGAGGGTGATTCAGCAGTGACAGGCTGAATTGATCAAAGTCTGTCAAACAAATGCTCAATTGGATCGAAGCGGAACGCACCTGCTGAGATGCAAAGACACATGAGAACGAGGGCCCCAAGCTGCTACTCATGACATGATGTGCTTCAACAGTAAGGATGGACACACCAAGCACTGTAAATTAAAAGAAGGTAACCTACACCGAAAAGAAAGAACATGGTGAAACATAGCACACTTTTTTATACCACGTGCTGTTCTAAAAACTTGGCATTGGCACACAAATTTTAATGATATATATATATATTGGTACGTATATATTTTTGCAGCACTAAAGGTACCACTTGGCAATTGCCGGTCAAAGGTCCCCAGCCGCTCGCCCGGTCACCCCAGCCCGGTCACCCCACCGTAGTGCGAGCGCTGTAAGCCGACCGTGAGTGGCACACCTGAGAGCCGCAGAATCTGATCGTGTTGGGACGCGCCGAACGCGCAGCCATGCATCGAACCAGGCGACGGCAAGGTGTGGAACGATGCCATCAGCGATGGGTAGAATGGTTCGAGCACGTCGCTTGGCCGAAACGGTCTTTCGGTGGGTGAGCTTTCCACAACGCACTCTGTCCTTGACAACAAAAATATGCGAAACAACCAAGTCTTGTGCATCATGGTATGTTTCAACATAAGCAACGAGTAGGAACCCCAGGGGGGGGAACGTACCTTGTTTTCGGAGGAACCATCTTCCGCAGGTGTTTTCAAGAAAAGCAAATGAAAGCAGTCTTTTCAGGGGTCACTCATCCTCATTGGTGCGGAGGTGGCCAACAAAGATGGGAGGTCTGCCGGTGGTGGCCAACTCGTGCGGAGGTCCCTTTGGCCGTCACCGACCACATCCGCTTTGGGCTCGCTCAGACTGTGTTTCGAGATCCTTCCATTAAGCAGTCCGTTTTAGTATCCTCCCACGGAACCCGGGCACTTCTCCAAGGTCAACCCTTGGCTTTGGGCTTCTCACTCCGAAGCTTCGACCACTTCTCCGTCCCAGCGGCAGCATCACTCTGGAGCAAAGGCTGCTGGGCCCTCAAACAAAGGAGGCAACGGGCTGAGTGGGGAGGTGATCTGACAAGTCCCAGACCATCCCTGAGACTGGAATAGTTACGGCCACAAATGGAGCAACCGTATCTAACTATTCCAGTCTCGGGAATGGTCCTCCCATGGGCCTGGCACGACGATCTAAAGGGCTAAAACCATGCATTACTAGCAAGGGGTTGGCGAGCTAGTTTGGAAAGCATCTCTGAACAATGCTGCTTTGAGACCATGCGTGTGTGGGTGCACAAGTATCTCATATGTTCGAGGCGTTTCTTCAACTCCAGAATGTGGTAGAATGTAGAACATTGTAGAACGACAGCTGGAAGCTTTCACGATGGTTTTCACCTATAAAGACTTTGTCTTCCAGCCCTTCCCAGCATGTCTTCGACTTCTTCTTTTGGGGCTCCTTTTGTCGAACAGTGACGAGGAGGATCTTTGCCAATTTCGCACCCCAAATGTCAACTGCTTTCTCGCCTCAAAGAAACAACCCCCGCGCGTCTTGTCCACAAAAAGGCCGAGCGCATGAATTAACTATATACTGAATTGACTCTTATTTGTGGTTCAATCGAAGATCCCAGGCCACCAAGTACCTTCCAAGGCTCCGGACACCTGGACGGCTCCTTAGTGGACTCACTTCCGAAGGAAACAACTCGACAGAGCGGCAGTGCAGCATGAGGCTTCCTGATCGCAGCTTGTAGCAGGTGACCAAAAACAAATAGTGATCTTGTTATGTCTTTCGGTCTTGGTTGATTTAAACAACCCTCGCGTCCCCTTGGACTTTGTATTCAGTACCGAAAGCTGGACCGACTCCGGACAGTGTTTTTGGTTGGCGCGAACTTTGGATGACGCGGATGACGCCCGGCTCACATGTGCAAGATGGGAAAACATCCATTGAAGCAGCCAAGTCTGATTGATATATTTTTACATGTACATACTGTAAATACATATATATATATATATGTGTGTTTCAAACAAACACACTAAACAAACACATCTTAGGTATGGTGCCACTTGCATTCCCACCATGCATCTTGATGACTTTTCACACGAGCTAAGCCCAAAGCTTGGGCCTGCCTTTGAATTTGAATCGCGCATCATTAGACAATTTCTTGCCTGTGCTTCGGGCACATTCCATCCCCACTAGTAGACTGGATGAGGATGAGGATGAGGATGAGGACGATGCTGCTACTGATGATGATGATGATGATGATGATGATGATGATGATGATGATGATGAT